GGACCACAGGCGCCCACCACAACGCCCGGCTATTTTTTGGTTGCAGCCATTATTGTTGTTTGGCGGGTCCGGGCTGGGGATTCGAACTCGCCACCTTAGGTGTACGTGGCTGGCGCCTTAGCCGGTTGAGCTATAGGCGCCGAGCCCAAACACCATGTTTATAAGAAGAAGGGCTTTATTTACTGGCCGGGAGCTTATGGCATAGAAGATTTCCAATGGCGGTGCTCCCCAACTAGCTTGGTCGTTCCCTTTTTATTGACAGTCAAAAAGTTCCATCCCACAGGTACCCCTCTCATTGGCCAGTTTGAATCAAGTGGGAGATGCTGTTCCAGCCCCTACAAAACTAACTACAGGATTTCACAGAACTTGGAAATTTCCAGGTTACAAATTCCTAAGAGCTGAGTCACCATGGAGAGGACCTTGCAAGTGTATCCTTGTGGTCTCCTTGAGAAGACCTGTTCTCAGGCAGTGCAAAGGAGTAAGGCGCTGGCCCCATATGCCAAAGGTGGTGGGTTCAAACCCAGCCCCAGCCAAAAACTGTAAAAAAAAAAAAAAAAACAACTCAGGTGATTTTACCTGGCAAACATTCCCACTCTGCAGACAGAAACACTGGCTCTGGGGGAGAGAACTCAGACTGAAGAGAAAAATGGCAGGGCCTAAGGATAGCGTTTGTGATACTCCTCACTTCTGGACAGCCTCCTGTTCTGAACCCCGAGAGCCCCGTCCCCAACAGAGGTGAAATGTGAACACCTGTGCGGGGGAAACATGCTTAACCTCAGATGATGGAGAGCTGAGCAGAATCAAAGGGGATTCCCTAAGAGTCTAGGACAGTAAATAGAAACCAACATGCTAGAACCTTCCAAATTAAGTCTGGCCTGCTTCCCTGAGCCAGGCCTTAATTTGATTCTGTTGGTTCTTTGCTTTATAAGACATCAACTTAAGAGCATTACTTGGAGCCCTGCTGCTCCCCAGCTGTTTAACATGTTGCACGTTGCTCAACCTCTTGGGGCCTCAGGTTCCTCCTCATCTGTACAATGGGTTCTAGTTCTTACTTTAGCATGGCTCTGAGACTTCCACGAGTATACACAGAGCACATTGAACAGTGTCTGGCACATAGTAGTTGCTCAACAAATGCCTCAGGAATAAATGACTTGATTCCACCTGTCCCTTTTTCTTTGAATATACTCAGTTTCAGCCCCCTGCAAGGATGGAGTCTGGGCTGGGTGCAATGGCTCACGCCTGTAATCTTAGCACTCTGAGAGGCTAAGGCAGGAGGATTGCCTGAGGCCAGGAGTTTAAGACCAGCCTGAGCAAGAGTGAGACCGCATCTCTATAAAAGTTAGAAAAATTAGCCTGGCTTGGTAGTGGGTGCCTATAGTCACAGCTACTTAGAGGCTGAGGCAGGAGGATCACTTGAGCCCAGGAATTGGAGTTTGCTGTGAGCTGTGATGCTCTTGAGGTCCTATCTCAAAAAAAAAAAAAAAATCAGGCGGAGTCTGGAAAGTGAGTACACATTCAGCCGCAATTCACAGGAGATCATGAGGTTTAAGGAGAAAGTACACCTTAGGCCTTTAGGAGGTAAGTTTGCAGTAAATGTCCACTATCCGTGGACAGGAATTTTTGTCTGTTGTATTCACTTCTGTGTCCTCAGCATGCTAAGTAGAGTCAGGCTTAAAAAATCTTTGTTGGATAAATGCATATTATCATTTTATGAGGAGCGGGATCTGGGGCCCTCCAATGAACTAGACTCCCAGGCTGGATTAACCTCATTATAGGAGGAATATTCAGAGGGCTTTCTCTGTAAGCCTGACACCACAAAGTCAGTTCAACATCCTCTTTAATAGGCCCATTAAATAGTGAGAATTATTTGGAGACAGAGAAAGCCTTCTTCCAGGAATGCTTCAAGCATGATATGTTTTCTTCCCTGGCTTAATACACATAATTTGGGCTCGGCACCTGTGGCTCAAGCAGCTAAGGCACCAGCCACATACACCTGAGCTGCCTGGTTCGAATCCAGCCTGGGCCACCAAACAACAGTGATGGCTGCAACCAAAAAATAGCCAGGTGTTGTGGTGGGTGCCTGTAGTCCTAGCTGCTTGGAAGGCAGAGGCAGGAGAATTGCTTGAGCCCAGGAGTTGGAGGTTGCTGTGAGTTGTGATGCCATGGCACTCTACCCAGGGCGACAGCCTGAGGCTCTGTCTCAAAAACAAAAACAAAAACAAAAACATAATTTGCCTTGTGGAAAAAGGAGCCCAGGGAGCTTAGCATGACTTAGAAACAATGGACAACGGTTGCATTTTACCAAGCTTACTTGTCTCCTGCAAGGAAGCAAAAAACTATGCAGTGTAAGCCAGGCTTAGAAAGACCTGAAGCCCAGCAAGAGGACTTTGAGCCATGAACTTCCCAAAAGGTGGGTCCTGGGGTCAGACAGCCAAACGCTGTAAGACTGCTCATGCCTGGGTTGGAAAATGGGGAAAAAAATATCTGCACTGCCTCTGCTGGCGCAGCTACACTGTTCTGCCAGTTCCAAGGTTGGGGGAGAACACATCCAAGCTAGTGCAGGAAGACGTTTCTTCCTGCCCCTAACAACCGACACTGAGTTCAGTGCCCTAGGTGCTGGTAGCTCCTTGCTAGAGGAGAGAAGGGCTTGGGGTTGATACCTCCCCACCCTCATGGTTCATGGGATGGAAAATCTTTTTTTTTTTTTTTTTTTTAGGGACACCGTCTCACTTTGTCACCCTCA